CCCCCCCCCTGTCCCTCTCACCAGTGATGTCCCGATATCATTGTGCTTGCTTACTTTATGAGTACATTGTTTTCAAATTCTATCAGACTTCCTTTGAAATACGGAGTTTCACCCCGTGTCGAACGACACGATCGATTCTAATCTATAGCCAGCGACACAAAGTAATCATACCGCAGATCTGAAAAGTCAACGTTTCACGTAAACGCCCGAGCGACTAGCCAAAGTATCTCTTCGTTCTTTATGTATATATATATATATATGCTTTTTTCCCTTTTACTTCTATGTACAGTAGCACGATCGTAGATCGAAAGGATTTCGATAACCACGAACGTTTTACATTTTACAGGCGACTAGCCCTATATAGTTTTCACGAAGCGTTTTCAATGCGCCCTTTTCAACCGCAGGTCGACGTTAATATTGTACGATTCATTTACAAAGAGTTATCTCCAACTTGATCCTTTAACGGTATAACGTGTATTATCGATCACTATAGTCCTTGAGTTTGATATAGCTATCGATCTGTGTAAACTCTTGACTGTACGCTAAGGTAATTTTTTTTTTTTTTTTTTTTCTTATTTTTCTTGTATGTAAATCGAAACGAAAAATTATGCGTTGCTGTTACAGTTTGTAAAAATAATATGCTTCTCGCGAATGTCGCCTCGTACATGTGCTTTTTTTCCCTTCATCCTCGTGTACGTGCACGACATGAAAACTCGTTGGCCGCACGATCATTATTGTACAGTAGAATTCAGTGTTCGCCACCTTAAAGGTAGCTGCGTACGTGGAAATGACGTTTGTAATGAACCTTCGGTCTGTCATACGAGCATGCGCGATCGCTCGATTCAAGATTGCTCCTCCTGTCAAACTTGATCCCCCCAGATGGCAGCTTTTTTCGCACGATCCACAGACGCTAAGAATGTACCGCGAGGATGCCAGGATACGGCCGTCACTGGAGACCTGTAGAAAGAAATGAAACACAGTGGGTCTGCGATCAGACAAAATCACAAGTAATACGTGGAAGCACAGAGTCGTACATGAAGAATCGAAAATGCTGGTCGAAGCCTGAAAGCGTTACGAGCGGAGGCACGTGGGGCGATACTAAATAACGAGGAAGATGATTTTTGCGGTGACACGTGGGAACGCGATTAGCGGTAAAATCAATTGATGGAGAAAAAAATAACGTTTCCAGGAAATTATCGTCCTACGATGCCCACGTCATTCGCAAGGGTGACGTTAAGTAACTTTATGGCCCCAGGGTAATTCTTCTTCAATTACGTCCCTGCGAGATTGTATTTTACAAAGGTAATACACGGGGTGACTCGTACCGACCGCTGAACAACTGTTGGAAAACCGCGAGTTTTAAACTATGTTGTCTCGTGCGATGACGTCACAAGTTAAGTTTTGAACACACGACATCATTTTGGGTAATCACCATTTTACGTTTCCAGGTTGTATTTTATTTTAGATTTTTAAACGTCTTTGCACGCTCTCCTTGGTTTCTCAGGTAATTGACTGGTATCGAGCAGTCCTCCAATAAGTTTCAAATCGGGTGTATCTAGCATTGGAGCTTTCAAAAAAAAAAAAAAATGCCGAGCACTCGTTACGATAAGGGAAAGACAGGTGGGTACGATTTTTAAGGTTTTAAGTAAAAATCGTCCTCGATGTCATTCGTATCAAGACGGTAGGCGCGTGGGTATCAGGTACAGCCCTGCATACTCCAAGCACGTAGAGTGGGTATTGCCAGCGTGAAAAAGGAGAGCAATCCATTCCTGCCAAAGAGCGTTGGAAATAAACTTCACGCAAATGACGCACAGTATGTCTCACTGGGATCGATGAAACGGCGCTTGGAATGCGTGATGCAAGAATTTTTGTTTGGTTCGAGGAAACGACACGAGAGTCGCCTGAAAAGACATTGTGACGTCTGCTAACGTCGTGAGGGACGTTATACGTATCTGACGTGGGATCTGGGATAACGTTTTACAAGAAGTTTTCTAACTTATCGACGGAAGCCACAATTTCTATCATTAATCTCAACCAGTGCTGACACGTGACTGAACAGTTTATTCCGTGCGAACAGTGGCGACGTCTAATGGCGAAGTCATTGACGTCCCGGGGTTGCGTCATAGCGGGGCAGAACAAACGACAACAACGGGTGACGATTAAACAGTCCCCGCGACAAATAATTTTCGGACCGAATTACTTGCGCGGTGATCTTATTGGTAGACGGGGAAAAAGTGTAGGAAAAGTTAATACCTGGGATTGTGTGCGACGAAGAGGAGGAAGTGGGAAAAGTAATGGGTGTAAAAAAAAAAGCGACTGCAGAGTGCGCATGTACTTTCGATATTTCACTCCGAGCTACTTTACCACAGTGCATCGCGATATATGATACGTGAAACCTTGTTAGTCTAATGGAGTTGCGTAATACTTTTTGCATTTTTTACAAGTTCCTCCGAGCATCTGATTCATTACTTTTTTCTCTAAGCAGATGATTACCCTTCAACGAATAATACGGATTCCTCGTTTATGTCTCTGTACGATAAATTGTCTTTCGATTGAAATTTCGAATTATTTCGTTTATGGAAAAAATGTTTAGACGGAACTTTTGTATTTAAAGAAAAAATACAATTTCTGACAATAGGATAATTTACAATTGTCTCGTATACAAGAGGTCTTAATTGAAATAAGGGTAGCGCGAAAGAACCAAGGGTTGCTTTAAAACGGCGACTCAGGCGTGACGTGAAGGGTGAACTCAGGGTGAACTTTGACGTAGTACCTGGAAGAATTGCGTAGCCTAGGACAGCTGCTTTGTAAGTTAATAATAACAACAATAACGACTGGAAAGGAAAGTGACGCTACTGGCCAGTCGTTACAAGCCGAAGCGTCGCGACGCTCCAAGCGTACAACGTATACTTTCTTCTTCGCTTTGTATCCACCATTTCTGACATATTAACAAATTGCATTCCAGCTTGTACCCTTACCGCGGGTTATGCGTTGATGGAGTTTCAAGTAGGAAGAGAAAAAAAAAATTATAAAAATTTCTTAGAGCGGTACGAATCGCTAAGGCGGGTTCTCAAAGTCGGACGCCGTTAATCAAGGCTCGTCGACGCCATGGACTCCTTACGCGAATCGCAACGCTATTTCTCACCGGCTGACGGCACTATGTGAACTTACCGGTATCACTGCGTGTAATTGCGCGATGCACGGATTCCCAACAGTAAACAAGACTGCAGCATTGCGCTAGATGTGGGAACGTATGAGCCCGCGAATTCAGACTCAGAAATGGCACACGAAGTCAAGTTAAAGATATGGAGGCTCTTTTGCTACTAGCTTGTACTAGACTTCCTCTTAGTCTTTCGATCCCTGACATTTATAACGACGGGTAAAAGTAAATTCTATTTAAATTGTTTGTTTTGAGGCATTTAAGGCTCATTTGCAATTTATATCTAATTATTGACTTTTTAACTCTCGCAATCAGATATATTGGATTCGCTTTGGATCAAAATAAAAAATATTTTTACGTCAATTACCAAACAAGGGGAAATTTGCAATGTGGCTAATTTATATTTTCTATCGCGATAATGCCAAATTCATTTTCGCTGTTTATTTTTTCGTTCAATATCCCCTTGTGAATTCGGCTTAAGGTCGTCGTGCTCAAGGGCTTAATCAATTAAAAGCAATTGTTCATACGAGGTTCGCGTGCTTCGGCACGTTCCACAAACGTTTTGTCGTCTTCATGGAAGGATGCTTAAGGCGCTTATGGAAAGTCGTCGTTGCAAGTTTCGCGTGATGCGCGCTAAGTCTACGTGCGAAATTTTCAACATCCAAAGATATTCAGATTACGGTACTTGGTTGCGGGACGAGATTTAAAGAAAGAAAAAGAAAGGACAAAAGCAATCCGAACTGATTAGCCGTTTACTAAGAGGACAGGGCGCGTCCGCAATCGAATTGTTAATTCGACGGTAGTGCACGAGCTTGTAGCAAAGATAAGGGTATTTAATTAGCGACAATAACGGTCCTGGCGACAAGAAAAACTAAAACCAGATTAGTGATAAACGTCCGACAGTTAAGCTAGGAAGCTAAAACTGGTTTATTATTTATTGGCAAGAACAAGTCAGAGGTGTAAACTGTTTGCGATATGTTATAGAAAATTGTTGTCCCAGGCAATAAAATTTCGCAAAAATCTCAACTTCCACCTCTGTATTCGCTATTCGGGAATTTGCCGTTTCGCACGGATTCGAGCGTCTCCAAACGTAATAGGGCAAGTTTCGATTCGCATAAATTCGCAATCTCTCCAACAGTCATCCTTCGCGATAGGCTATTGAAAGTTTGACAAAAAATTGCACATCTAAATATTTTCTATATTCGCAACTGCAAAACTACTGTCCAGGCTGCGTGGGCGAACTTTAAGTCCGTCGAAAGTTTTCGTGTCGGATTGACGTGTGCACAGCACTCGAGGGCCGCTCCCTGAAATTACAGATATTTCGTTTGCTTGTAACGTACAATGCAAGAGACTCATATATATAGGTATAGTGCGGAACAGGGATTAAAGGAGAAGTCGTAATATCAGGGTCTTACGCTGGTGAAATTTGGCGGCGAAAACAGGGAGAAAGGGGGAATTTCGAGAGGTACGTAAATAAGATAAGAAAAATGACGATAAACGAGAGTTACTTGATATTCGGATACAAGGAAAGATTTTTGTAGAAAATATAGAGAGGAAGTGAGAAAATTAAAAATCCGTTTGACACTTTGCTTAACCGCAAATAAAGAATTCACTCGTAGCTACCGGGTGAACGATGAAAAATTCAAGAGCCCAACGTTGCAAAGAGTCATTACTCCGATGGAGGGACGGCTTATATTATAAGGGTAGGAACACTCCCCCAAAAATGAAATTAAATAACGTTCTTTCTCGTGAAAAATTCTTTACGGTGCTCAAGAATATCTAAGAGAAGATGAGGAGACTCCTGGATCCGATGAGTCACGTTAGCAGCTACCATTCCCCTCCCCCAACCCAACTCGCTCCCCGCTTCATCGTCTGGGTCCGCGAAAATGCCACCATAAATCCCATTTCCGTAACTTTTATTCATGCCACTTTTTATGCCTCCTTTATTAAAAAGGTCAACCGCCGCTAGAATCCGCTTCCAACTTGCACAGCATCCCTGGTCCATGTGCCGCGACCTGAGCCGGCCTCCGGCCAGTCTCTTGTCCGTTTATCACAGTCGCGTAATAAATAGGATAATAAAATCGTCCGAGATAATTCGCACCCGTAACGCAAGCAACTCGCGAGCTATTCTCGTTAGCAGGAAATTGACGTTTTGATTAAGAAAGACTCAAATGAAAGATGATACAAAAATATCCTATATACTTTATATATTGTTAAGCCCCACAATATATGTATATATACTTACGTGTGATCCTTTAGTACCGTTTCAATCTTATTTGTCCCCACAGACCAAACAAAGATGGACCCATCCGATGAACCAACAGCAATGTACTGACCATCGGGACTGAAAGCAGCTCGAGCCCAATCACAGCCAACTTTGAAACCTTCGGCGCTGCAAGATTGTCGGTGAGTAAACTTTTTTTTTTAAGAAAGTCAAACTTTTTTACAGAAAGATACGATTAAGGATCAATGTCACGCTCAACCCGGATATTAATCATCGACTCCGCTTTCTTCGGTAGGCAAAAGGGCCTCCGCGGCTCTTTCGCACTCCGTGCAAGTAATTAAACGTGCCCGTGTAAGTTTGGGAATTTTGTTTGGCAAAAAAATTGCCATGGTCGCGAGTCACGCTCGCACGAATCGTTTTGGACATTCCATTGGTAGGGCGAGTAATACGGAACCTTTCCTAATTGAATGCTCTTCGGCTTAATAGTGCCTGATAAAAAGACGACGACCCGGAGTCCGAATGAGCTGACGGCAAAAAATCTGTCAGTCACTTGATGCAATTTTTACCAGTCGATTGAGGTACTTGAATAAATTATCGACCGTCCACGAGACAAATAGCAAAAGTTATTTCGAATGCTTTCAGGTGCAATTATTGGAAAACACAAAAATAGAGATTCCGTGAAAATAATTTTTTTTTACTTTCAGTACGCAAAAGAGTAAATTTTGTAATGTAAAAATTAACGTAAGAAAATTATTTGTTATGCAGTGGACTAGCTCTGTGCCATAGCGTAGATCTTAGAATTAGATCCAAGCTATACCTGTGCAGAATTTTGGTAATGCTTTTTCAAGGTATGCCCGTAGTATGGGATAGTCTCATTGACTATATAACTCTGTATATACTTCTTCTGAGTGATCAATTTCAGATCTATACTGTATCACTGAATGACTTTAATTCGGTGTAGTCACGTTAGAATTGAAATGGATATTTTTAATGTCCTCGAATTTTTTAGTGGATCCATTATGAATGTGGTATTACCAACGTAAATATATGCTGATCTATTCAGAGGTCGGCCCGCATATATTTTAAAGGACACTACGTCGTTATTTCATGTTAGGCTGTCAAGCCTTGACAATATATTGACAGGTGGGTTATGAATCCATCAGTAGGAGGCAGCGTGAAATTCGGATGTGTAATCGCAAAGCAAATCGCGGAAATAATACATAGGGCATTCGGTGATGAATCGATATGAAATTTTAAGGCCATCGAAAATCCATAATCAATATTATTTATTGATATTTACCTGAACGAGCCAACTATCTGTTTCATTCGTAAATCCAAAAGTTTCAATGTGTCGTCCCGTACGCAGCTTAATAAATAATTAGCATCTGAAAAGAAAAGAAAATAATTACGTCATCGATTCTTACCTAAACAGCGACTCTAGAGATCTTTTAAGATAAAGAGAAGTCAGTTATTGTCTTCTATAAGAAATACGAAGTAGCGTCTCTTTTTATCCACGTCGATACGTCTCATTCATATTATTCGCGAACCTTAAAGGGAGGAGAATCATGGGAAACATAGTAAACCGAAAATAATTAGAGAAAAAGAAAAAATAAGAGAAGCACAGAAGATTTAAGGGGATAGAAAAAATGAAAATAGATCCTTTATGGTTCGGGATTTTGTGAAAAAAAATTTTAACCTGGGATTTTCTGAGAACACTCAAAATTTAGATGTTCGTCGAACAATTGGTACAGAAGGTCTGTAAAATATTTTGGTAAAAAAAGGATACGGTAGATTTCACTGTTTTATCGAGGGTACTTTGGGGCTTGTGAAAAAAGACGCTTCAATCGGTTCTACTTTTTAAATATATCTATATTTGGAATTTGTTGACACTCGCTTTTAGGAGATTCGCGCTTTATTCGCGCATTAGGTAGATTAATGAAATGCGCCAGTTAAATATGTCTTTTCCGAACGAGCTCTTCAATCAGCGCGGTGAATTCAGCAAATGGGTGCTTTGGGACATTGTCGAAATGCGCGGCGATATCTCTGTACACGATTACAATGCACGAAATAATGTCACGTGCTTCACTTACGGAAAGTATAGACACTGCCAAAAGCTTTTACCGGAATAATTCAACTTTTTTTTCCTCTCCCATTGAAAAACTCATTCGAATACGAAAGTACGACTTTAACTTGATAACTTACCACGTGATAGATCCAAAGACGTGACTTTTCCTTGAAGGATGATATCGTTCGAGCAGGATTCTACCCTGGTGTCCCAAAATCGAATCCTCTTATCAAAATGTCCACTGATAATCGTGGAACCTGAGCTGTCGGATGTGACAAGATCGTTGCAGCTTGAGCCAGCAAATTTCGTTTCTATACCTGATGAATAAATTTGTACAAATTTTTTTTTTTAGCAATTCAAGCAATTGTATACAAATTTTGAGTAAAAAAATTCAAAGTTTCCCGAATGGCAATTTTACTAAAAAATCTTCGTTTCTCCGAATTTTTATGTAGGCATATCTTTAATAAAATCGAATATTGTGAAGTTTTCTGGAAGAAATTTAATGAGCGAAACGTCGGATTTTTTTTTTTTCGGAAAAAAGCATACAACATAACGATAGAAAAATGCTGAATTTTGTCAGATTTTTAAGATATACAAATACGACTCCACCAAAGTATCTGTATTTCGTTTTAAAGTCAGTCGATGGAAATATATTTTTTTCTTTCAGTGAATCAGAATAGAGAAATCAGAGCCACTAAAAGAAAAATGAAAGGTTACGGTTCACAGAAGAATAAGAACACGACATAATACCATGCATGAAAATTGTTTCATTCTATATACATATGCACACACATCGAGTCCGTGTAGCGCTGGATTTTAATAACCTCAACTTGGCGAGTTTCTTGAAAAATGCGTTATGGAACGCGAGCGATTTAAATGCACCTCGAACCGAGTAAAATTTTTCATGCTCGACGCCAGAGCCGCAACCGCCGAAGAGCGCAAAACGCGGAAACTGGAATGTTTACGTTGAGCTGCGCTCGACTTTATTTTTTCACTGTTGGATCCGCGCTCTCTATTCCTTTCCGAAGGAATCAGCCCGGCGTAAAGAACTGTTCGATGTACGTATATACGATAAAAGTAGCAGTAAATAGGGGGAAAAAAAAAAGAAAAAAAAAAACATCTCACATACACGTAACGCACAGGGACAGTTAGCTGCTCTGGTCAAATACTTCATCGAATGCGTATAGTTAAAGTTAAGCAGCCGTAGCGGAGAATTTCCTTTGGTTCCGCAAAGTCGTACAGCGAAGCGTGATAAAGTTCGCAAAAAGTCATGAAAATTGAATTCGCGTGCAGACACTTGATTAGGCTTCGTCTAATGCGTATAATTCATTTTTTGAATAGCAACGTGAAATTCAAAAAAAAAAAAATTGATCAATGATCACGCGATCACGTATAGTCAAAGGCACCGAGCTGAAAAGAGAAGCTCTGTCGGCTGGGTGGGTGAACCGAGGGACTCTTACGGGGACGACGAAAGAAGTAAAATATAACGTGGCTGGCGGAGGAGTAATAAGGTATTGAAAAATAGAGGAGGTAAGATAAAATTGTGAAAGATGGAAAGTGAAGTGGGATATAAAGGAGAAGAGGCCGAGCATCAAGAGTCACAGGGCATAACGAGTGCCCTGGGAGAATGGCAGGCGAGATTACGATGCCAAGTTATATAATTCCAATACTTGGTAAATGTTTCGACCGAGGCTGCCGCAGCCCTATAAGCAAGAAGCGCGCCGTTCCGGGGAACTGTAATTTTGAGACATCCTCCGCCGCGGCGCGCCCATTCGCAAAAGGGCAATTACCTCGCGAATCTAGTTTATCGTTAACTTTGCGAATTCTCAGGTAAGTCCGTGCCGAATTCGTCTCGTTGCGAAGGGGATGATCCGGTGCATTATCGAGAGCACGGTTATTTACCGTGACGAAATAAAGTGCATATCTTGATGTGGGTGATAGTGGAAGAAGAAGGGGGGGGG